TCCTCTTCTCGATACTCAGCCTGGTGCCGTCTCTAGCTAAAGAGTGGGGGTTCTATAATCTGCAGATCGGATATCGAGCTTATAGTCGCAGTGAGGATTGGCGTATGTGACTTGGATTCTCCGCGCTTCTTGTGTGATCATGCTGACTGGCTGGGAATACAGATCTCCCCCGAGTAAAAGATGGCGCGATCGAAGTCCGACCGAGGGCAAGCTCGACCGGGGCTCTGTGCAAGTCGTGGCTCGCCGGTGGCTCTTTACAATCCTGTCCCGATCGCAAAGGACGTCCGCGACGGGGTGCATTGGATGCGCCATCTCTCAGCGCATTCGAGGCGGCCTCTGTCTTCGACAGCGAACCCCTTACACAAACGGCGACCCGGTCGTCGAGTCTCATGAGAGGCGTGCACGCTTTCAAAACATTCTTCATCAAACAATTAGACGACTACCAGATCTTGCAACCATTCTCACCTGGGAGCGCGCCGTCCGTGCCGACTGCCACTACTCGTCCCGTTACACCTCCAGTTAATTCGTCCGTCGCGCCAGCCCCCTTCCTCAGCGAGGAGCCCCAACGCTGGTCTCGTATCACCAATCAGACAACATCAGCCACGAAGCACATTCTGGAAAGTTCTCGGATACGATTCCTCTCGGGTTGTCACGACGCATGGCAGCAGGCCTGTCTTGTGGCTACGGGTTTCCTGAAAAGCTTCCCTTCGACGTTAGGTACTCAACCTCTTTCCTCCAATTCCACCGAATCGGGATTTCCGCTGCAATTGCCTGGCCAGGAGCCAGTGCGGAAGTCGGTCCCGCAACCCCTCCCTGCGGATGCACTCGCTGCGCCAACAGAACCGATCACCCAAGCTGCCCCGGCTGCGGCTCAGTCCGAGGTAGCAGCGGTCGACGACAGCCCTAAGAAAATGCGCGGTAGCTGTATGGCTATTGTGATAGGCCTGGTGGTTGGGGTAATGTGGTTCTAGCGGGCTTTATTCTCTCGACTTGCCACTTAAACCCCGATTCAGTCGTCTGGTTTGCAGGCTCCTATATTCGCCATGTTCATGTTTGATGTCTATATACAAAGTCCCTGGCAAGGTCTTGTTGTTTGCTTATAATCTGTCGAATATCGGCTCTGCTTCCCCGTTGATCGACAATGGGGCTGGTGTTTGCTTCTCTGCAGCGATATTGACGCCTTGTCTCTGATACGATTGTACATGCTTTGCTACGAAGTTCGTCTCGCCTGATACGGGGACTCTGGCTTAGTCCTCTTGGTTCTGACGCTGCTGATGTATACTCGAGAACTTGCAGTGTGCATTAGTATACCATATACAATAGAATAATGTCTGTTAATCCACAACGTCCTTAGTCGTAGTCATGATAAATTAGATCAGCGCAATGAGATCCTGTTACAACATATTATGTGATACCGCAGAAAGTTGACACCTCAATTCCAGTTGACGACGCACGGACCAGATCCTTCGATCCGCCTCCACGATTGGGGATTCATCATGTTTGACGCGTTGGAATGCGCGTGGAACTGTCGAACCGGAGATAAGAGTACTTTTCCATTCGTATTTACATCTATATATATTCATTTTGATTCGACTTATGAGCGCCAAAATTTTGGAAATTGGGTGATTGGTTTCATTGGCTTTGGAATCAGTGAGCAAGGGATATCCGCCAAGGTCGGAAAGGCGCCGTGTGCCTAGGTCTTGCCAGCTGATTTGGAGCATAATTAATGAGCGGTAGGTTGGTATTGATTTTAGGAATAAAGTCGATGGGAGACAGTTTGTTTATACCGCCTTCCATCCAATGTCCAGGATAGCAAAGGCGATGCTGATGTTGCAATGTTGACGTGATCAAGTGTTACATGCTAACACCCACAAAGGATCAATTGCATGAGATCAGAAAACCACTATCATTTTCCTTCTACCAGACCGGAGACGAGGGAGTGAACTGATCTGGAAAATGTCGACCAAGAAGCCAAGAGACCGGACCACCCCCTGCTGCGTCTGCAGGTTGAAAAGGCGAGGATGCGATCGGCAGCGACCAGGTATTAACTCACTCAACCCCATCCTTCGCGATAGAAGTTAACAGATACAGTATGTGGACGATGCCGCGAGGCAGGCCTATCCCAGGAGTGCTCCTACCGACCGGAGGACATGCCTCCTCGGAACAGCTCAACACGGTAAGCACGCCTTCGCTCAATGCATGTCCATGTCCCACAGGCACGGGACCTAACAGGCACAAGCAGGTCGCTACTTCCGCAGCAACTGAAGCGGCTAAGGTCATTGCCCTCTCCGTCACAGTCTGCGCCGTTGGTGGTCATACAGTCTGCTGCACCGTCCAGCTCGACGTGGAATGGGAGGGAGTGGTCGCCAAGGCGCACGCTGCAGAGTTCGCGAGAGGCCGGGCCCAGGCTGCGGTATACCCTCGACCTCTTTTCGCATCGGCGAACGCAGTCTGGATCTGCTATGTACCCTGCCCGAGGCAATCTGCAAGCGCGCGGGCAGATTGATGTCGACGAAAGTTCTGCTGGTGAGTCCGAGGAAAAGGACGATGCGATTGAGGTTTCGTCGAGTCATTCGGAGGAGTCCTTTCATACTGCTACGCGATCGCCGATGCCTGAGTTTATTTCGGCGGAGAGTCGCGGTGCGCAGGGGTCGCATTCTGCGAGGATACGACAGGCGCAGGAGAGACGAACGGGGAGTGTCAAGCGGGAAGAGGAAGAGCCGATCGAGGATCGGCTGCCGGTATTACGACACTCGAATCTTGCTGGTGGGATGTTTATGTCTGCTGTGGACGATGTAGACGAGGAGATGATGGATTCTCCCGCGGATTTGTCCAAGGAAGATGCAGATCGACTGGTGAAGGTCTACTTGAACCTGGATTATGTGACGCTGCCAATCTTGGATATACAGGACTTTCGCGCAGCGTACGAAGCAGCTAGTGTTGCTGGGGAGTCTACCACGCCGAGCGCATTTCATGCCATTCTCAACACGATCTTTGCGCTTGCCTGTCTCAATGTAGAGGACATGGGCGACGAAAGAGCAAGCTACTTCTTCAAAGAGGGCCAGAGGCTGGCTAACCTGTTCGATCAATACAAATCTATTGATCTTCTTCGATTATACCTCTTACAGATCCAATATCTCAACGCAATAGGTGATTTACATACCGCTTGGGCTTTGATCGGATCTACGATACGACTCGCACAGTCACTGCGCCTACCTTTCGACGCAAAGCAACACGGGCACAGCAGAAAAGGCCGAGAGACTTGCCGGAGGCTCTGGCATGGCGTGATGATTATGGAGCGGATCCTTGCGCTGCGGCTGGGCATCGCGCCCCAAACGCCCGATCCGCTGCGGGTTCCTCTGCCCACGCACTTGGATACAGACTATGTAGATGTGGTCTCGAGCGCACAGTCGAGCGGGCCGTTGAGCGCGCAAGGTGACCGTGCATCGATAATCGAGTTCGTCACAGCCTGCGCAAGGCTATATAGGCTTGTCGACGACGTGATGGCATGGGAGGAAGAAGCAAGGATTCGGCCTCACGCCTGTGCCATGAAAAAATTACTGTCGCTGGATTTCACGCGGTTCTTGAAAGTGGATGGCCTTTTACATGATTGGAATCTGTCGCTGCCCTCGTCTCTACGGAGCAGTGGGGTGCATGGCACAGACGAACACTCCATCGTCGTCCGACAGCGGAATATTCTTCGAGCTCGATACTTGTATCTTCGGCTCCGGCTAAACCGGCCATTGGTTACTCTGGGGGTAGCGCTGACCACCGCGTGCAAGTGCAAGTCGGATGGGCAGCCTCACATTGTGGTAAGAAGGCTCGGTCCAGACTCACCTATTGCGCTGAGCCTAGTCCACGGGGCTTCTATCAATTGCGTTCGATCCGCACTCGAACTGACGGAGCTCATTCGCGAGCATGGAACTGGATTGCTTCTACTTGATACACCATACGACGCAAGTCACGGTCTCAACCCGCCCTATTGGGAGTCTGTGGACAATCTTTACGTCTGCGGTACGGTCTTCCTTGCTAGCTTCAACCACACAAGTCCGTTCTTCGGAGATATGACCGACGAGGAAGACGAACAATGTAGAGGCCTCTGGCCCTGCATCATAGACCTCCTCGATCGCTACCAGGGATATCGTCGACGCGGCCGAACGAACAATGTAGCCCAGGCGTGCAGCCGTACACTGAGCGAGCTTGCCAAGGCCGTCGAAAGCACAGATGATGCGGCTTGGGCGGTCGAATCGGCGAGATTAGGACAAGACGCGCGAGCAAGGTTCTCTCAGCGGACCGAGATGGAGTCACCGATCCGACATAGACGGATATCGGGCGCGACTCAGACGATCCCGGATCCCCTTGGGGACGTCCCTGAGTTTCCGGTGTGGATGGATAGTTTACCTGTTGACCTGGTGGGATGATTTTGTGTCTGAGCTATGTGATACCCATTGTATGATAAAACTGAATTACCAACAAACCCTAGAACCTATAAAATAAATATGATATTGAAGCTGTCTGCCAAGTAGCAGCCCTCACGGTCTCGGTAGTGATCCTATCGCAGCACTCGGAGTCGGTCCGATGCTGATTATCGTATCGTCAACATGCTTCAACCCCCCTCAGTTGCAGCCCAAGCGCAGTTTGCCTTGATTCTTTCGAGTCTTGCTTAAAATCCAAGTTACGATTACCATGAAGCTAACCAAGCAGTCTGTAAATCTACAGCAAAGCACATAAACCCTCTAGAGCAGACGTGACATGTCCGAGTCGGACCCCTTGAACTCCCCCACGCCCCCAACATCGGCCCGTAGACCGACCCCGCAAGTGATAATTCAGTGTCGTAATCTGATCGGGGCAATTCCCAGCGAGACGGCGGGGTGACAATTCCCCTGTAAACCCCTCTCTCGATTTCTTGAGCTATTTTTCTCCTTCACTTTTACCTGCCGTTTTATCTCCTTTCTCCTTTACAATCATTTTCGTTCACACAGACGACACACCAAATCATAATGCAGGCAATGCAAGCAGCGAATCGACTCCAGCGGGCTCTCCGTACCGAGCGCGGATTGTCCTTTGGTGCGTGGCAGATGCTTCCTGGGGCGAACCATGCGCGGTTCATGGCTAGGACGGGGTATGATTGGATTTGTGTGGATACGGAGCATGGGAATATTGCTGGTATGTACGGAGTTGCTGGCTATGATTACAGTGATGGCTATGGGCTGACAGCCGCAGATTGGCAGATGCATGAGGCTGTGGCTGCTATTGCTGCTACGGGGGTGAGTCCCATTGTGCGGATTGCTGCGAATGAGGGGTGGATGGTGAAGCGTGAGTCTAGCATTGATTCAGGGGGGAGAGGATATGGAGATAAGTTAACGGTGGATAGGGGCCTTGGATGCGGGTGCTCATGGAATCGTCGTGCCTCTTTTGTATACTGCTGATGATGCGCGGAGGTTGGTGGAGTCTGCCAAGTTCCCCCCGGTTGGCCGGAGAGGCTTTGGGAGTCCATTTGCCATGGGCTCTATTGGTGGTGTTTCTGGAGTGGAGTACCTCCAGGGGGCCAACGATGCTCTGCTCACTATCGTGCAGATTGAGACGAAGGAGGCATTTGAGAATGTAAGTTGATCGGGGAGTGGCTGCAGAAGTGATGACGATCTAATTGAGATGATATATAGGTAGAGGAGATTGCCAAGGTCCCCGGCATCGACGTCCTGTTCGTCGGACCCTGGGATCTGGGAAACAATATCGGCCGTCCCGTCACGGGCGCATTCCATGAAGACCTCAAGGCTGCGATTGAGCGGATCCGCAAGGCTGCTGTCGATAACGGAAAGAGGGCCGGTATCTACTGCGTCGGTGGTGCGGCTGCAAAGAAGTACGCCGACCAGGGTTTCCACATGGTATGTAGCAGCCTTGCCCTTCCCCTGGCCACCTCCCAGATCGCTGATAAACCTTGGGGCAGATCTCCGTCGTCGCCGATGCTGTCGCTTTGCCCACATTCCTTGCGAACGCCCTTGAAACTGCCAAGGGTAGCAAGACTGATGCCGCCGTTCCCACCTACTAGATCTACCCATCAAAGCCCCCACATGTATAGTGTTTGCAATTAGAATGAACGAAGTTTATGATTGTCGTACGTCCAACGAGGCTTCTGCCTCTATGACTTCGATTTTTCTACCTCCTCGACCAGGTTCTCGACTTCCTGCTCGGTGAACCGGTGGAAAAGCTTCTTTGGGTCGGAGAGTTGATCCTTGAGGGCAGCTTGAACGTGGAGAACTGGAACATCGAATTCGTAGACGTCCTTCCAGGACTTATTCTCGGGGGCCATAATGTCCAATTCGGAGTAATCAAAGGGCCTCCGCTTGTGTAGCTGGGTCACGGCGTGCTTGGCGGTGTCACATAGCCCGCAGCCAGCGCGGGTGAAGAGGGTGACACGAGCTTTTGAGAAGAGGGCTCTCGTGGGGAACATATTGCGATCCAAGGTCCTTGTACCCTTAAGAGTAGTAGTTGTTGTTGATTGCCCGGAGTAGCATTGGAGAATAACGCGGTGGAGATCTCGTGGAACCTTCGAGCTTTACAAGCTAAACCCAATCGGGACACAGCGAATGGAAACGGAGAAGCATCGCAGTAGGATTCTGTATCATTCTATAGCATACTTGCTGTTATGAAGCTCAGTTCTCTGGAAGGCGATTGATCTTCCTGTATATTTGTCCCAACTTCATCGATTGCAGAAACAGACCTGACAGCATGGCGTCCAAGTGTGTTCACAAAGGGTGCGGTAAAGAATTCACCGATCCCGAGGGGGATTGCTTGTACCATCCTGGCCCTCCCGTTTTCCACGAAGGTCAAAAGGGTAAGTCAGGCAAGGACCTTGGGGGTGCAAAAGACCGATCGCACGTATCCGGAACTGCAAATGAGGATCTCTATCTGACAAGTGATCTGCAGGGTGGAAATGTTGCAAAACCCGCGTTCTGACCTTTGAGGAATTCCTGACCATCCCACCATGCACCACCGGCAAGCACTCGACGGTGGACGACACACCCGCCGAGCCAGAGAAGGAGTCGAATGCAGCTGCCCTTGAGGAGCAACTCGCCGCCGCGACACCGGCGCCCGCTCCTCCGCGGCCTGCGGTCTCGCCTGCCATTGCCCCTCCCTCGAACGCCGCTACGCCCGTTGTCGAAGATACAGAGGACGATGACCCCTCGCTGGAGATCCCGACCAATGCCACCTGCCGTCGGCGAGGATGTAATAAAGGCTACGATCCTTCTATTTCGCGCGACGAGGAGAAGTGCGTCTATCACCCTGGCCAGCCGATCTTCCATGAGGGCAGCAAGGGCTGGTCATGCTGCAAGAGGCGGGTGCTGGAGTTTGACGAGTTCATGAAGATCCAGGGGTGCAAAGAGAAGACCAGACATCTCTTTGTTGGGAAGGGAAAGCCCGCAGGCGAGGAGAAGGTCGAGACGGTCAGGTATGCAATCTTCTACATACCGACAATCTTAAGAAACGAAGCTGATGGTGCTCTCTTGCAGGAATGACTTCTACCAGACCCCGTCGACGGTCACTGTCTCGCTATATCTCAAGAAGATTGACAAGGACAACGCCAAAGTCACCTTCTCCTCCAAATCGGTCGAGTTCGATCTGCCTACGACGGACAACAAGCGGTACAAGGATACGTATCCTCTGTTTGCGTCGATCGACCCGGCACAGTCTTCGTTCAAGGTCTTGGGAACAAAGCTCGAGCTCAAGCTGGTCAAGGCTGATGGGACAAGCTGGCCGGTGCTACGGAGTGATGACAAGTGGACGGGAGAGAGAATTCAGATTGGACAGGCCGGCAGGGCTTAGTATATGAAATTTTCACTTCGTTTATAGTTCGACGGCATTAAGGTTATGAGATCAATGATAATGTTCATCGACTTATACGATTACAAGACACTAGAAGAAACACGTGGACGAGATACGGAATATAATCTAAGTAATTTTTCATTCTGATATTCTGCATAGCAAGACCGCAGGCAAGTACATGTACACACATCAATGTACAAATGTACTCAAAAAAAAGGGATGTCACGCCCCCTCCACAGCATAAGCGCATGGGGCTTTAACCTTTCGGAAAAAAGCCCTCGCTCAGCCATGTATTGTGTAGGGAAAAAGGAAGACGCACGCAGAGTAAATCCACGCTGCTCTCCAGAGCCGGGAACGGAAGGAAACCCATAAGAGAAAAAAATCCCGCAAGAATAACCTTCAGCGAGCAGTACTTTGACTGAGCTCCGGGGTTGAAATTTACATGGTCAATGTAAACCTCTACTGATGATGAGGAAAGAAAAGAAAAAGAAAGGGAAAAAGCGTCGCTGAAGAAGTCCTTTTGTAGGTGATCAGAAGCTTGGCGCTAGCGGGTTCGGGACTAGCCCGATGCCGAGAATTTACTTAGGGTTAGGGCATCCTGTAGCACATGATAATTAGCTCGGTGAGGAGTCAGGTGATCTTTGAGTCACATGGTTGAGAATCACATGCAAATGTTGAGATTCTTTACCAAAAACGGACTAGCGTCTACGCCTTGTAATTATGGTGCCTAAGTCCCTTTTCGACGTCAAGCGCGGTAGGAGCGCAACTATGAAGGTAGATGCTGCACGTAAGACTTTGTACAGTGGACCAGTGGCGAATAATATCAAGCAGCACTTCATAGGAACTTCACAACGGCTTCGATCAACGCTGGTTGTCGTCATGCGTGGCGGCGTGTGATCGAGTAAAGCCGGACTTTAGCCTAGCCCAGATACCTTAGGGACAAGGCCGCCCTTAGTGCCTTGGATTCTTGGAGGGGCTACGGGCGCTCTTCCAATCAAGGTCAAGAGGGCACGAGACCACCGTTTCCCTCTTTTGTCCCTTTCTCCCCTTCCCCTGATCGATTTGACTTTATAATTTTCTAAGCTGCAGTTTTCTACCCTTACTTGATTTACTCGTATTGAATTGGAGCATCAATTGCTGGTCAATTCATGCTTCTGACTTCTTCTGTGCAGATAATCATCCTGTTGGCGCAAGAATACTGATTGTTACAGAGAACAAAGGGGCCGTAACTAAGTGTACAGGTTCGTACCGAAGTGTCGCATCAGCCTCTCAGGCCACATGAGACTCGCTCCCTCTTGCATTCTCTGATCAATGTCATATGGAGACTTGGTGTTCCAGAAATATTCTTCTGCGACAAGTGTTGACTGTTGCTTTCGCAGGACTCCCAGGCTTCTGGCCACTCCTTGTTCGCTGGTCGTCTACACGAAAGACCTGATTCATATACTACTTTAAGATGGGATCAACGGGTGATATGAAGGACGAGACCCTTCCCCCTCTCAGATTCATCCCTCTGTCATACAATCATGCCGATTCCCAGGCTTCAGCGCTCAGGCTTGTTCTGACGCTGAACCCGCAGTGGGAGGGCCCGGACAACAAGATCGAGTTCGTGCGCTTCACGGACGGCATCACGAATACTGTGTGTTTCTTCTAGAGGATCGTAATCAAGCGGGCGCAGAGCTGTGAACTAATCTCGGGTCTTTTCTAGCTTCTCAAAATCATTAATCGGAAACCTGGCTTGACCGAGGAACAAATAGACAACGAAGCAGTACTGATGAGAGCGTACGGTAACCATACAGAGATCCTCATAGACCGCGAAAGTATGATATGCCCGGGGACCCTTTGCTCTTGCCGAACGCGACTTGCTGAGTAGATATGCTCTATCTATAGGAGAAACCACATCCCATGCGCTTCTGGCCAGCCGTGGCCTGGCTCCTCCCCTTCTGGCTCGTTTCCAGAACGGGCTTCTCTACCGGTTCATTCGAGGCCGTCCAGCAACCCATTTGGATCTGGTCAAGCCTCCGCTCTGGCGCGGTGTTGCCCGAAGGCTCGGACAATGGCATGCGGTGCTGCCTATCGGTGGACACAGCGCGTCCAGTTCATCTGCCAAAGAGCTTCCCTTGTCCCACCAAGTAGATGTCGACGATCAACACCAACACAAGCAAGAAGATGATTTGGATCCCATCAAGCCCCGAGTACCGGGTCCCAATATGTGGACGGTGCTTCAGAAATGGATCCTTGCTCTTCCCACCACGACCGAGGAGCAGCGCACCCGACGACGTGCCTTGCAGAAGGAGTTGGAAAGCGTGGTGCGTGAGCTGGATGATGGACGGGGTCTTGGTGACGACGGAGTATGTAGTCTCTCTCTCTCTCTCTCGGGGGCACGACAGCTACTGACATTGACAGCTGGTCTTTGCCCACTGTGACCTTCTCTGTGCCAACGTCATCGTCCTACCGTCACAGTGTCTCGCCACTGCCGCAACCTCAGACAAAGAAGCGTTAAACGTGCAGTTCATCGACTATGAATACGCGACCCCATCTCCAGCCGCCTTCGACATTGCCAACCACTTTGCAGAATGGGGCGGATACGACTGCGACTACAGCATGATGCCGACGCGGTCCGTCCGCCGACAATTCCTGACCGAGTATGTCAAAAGCTACAGCCAATTCCGGGGAATCACCGAATGTGCCCAGCAAGAGATTGTCGACCGATTATATGAGGATGTTGATCGATTCCGTGGTATTCCCGGACTATACTGGTATGTACTGCCTCAGTACAGGTGGATTTTGACTGACAAGCATAGGGGCGTGTGGGCACTCATCCAAGCCCAGATCTCGCAGATCGACTTTGACTATGCTTCGTACGCGGAAACCCGGTTGGGAGAATACTACGCCTGGCGGCGAGAAGTGGATGGCTCGCGGGCTCAGGCGGGTGAAGAGATGCCACTCCGAGAACGTCGGTGGGCCGAAGCTTAGTCCACGTTTCTCAGTACTGTCTTGTATATAAGCAACTTACTTCACATAGAGCAAGAGCATATCATTAGCATAGAATATGCATATGGCCTGCTTTTTGCTTTTGCAAGGGTTTCAACAACAATATCCTTGAGGTTGGCGGTTCAGCGTTAAGCATGATGACAGCGCTTGTCTTCAACGACGCATGTGTCAGCGTCTACTGTTTGTTAATACAAAAGCATATCAGATATCCTCGCTTTATTCATTCCGTGATAC